CTCGGCGGGGAGGGGTAGACATGCCATCTAAGCACATGGGGGTGGGGGACAGGCTCACCAGCCCCAAGGATCAGACACAGACACACCTGCAGCCTGACCCCCACCACACCCAACCAGGTACTAAATGCCACCTTCCGGGCCATTAATGAAGCACCCCCTTTCCTCACTGCCCCCCACAGCCCTGTTCCTTGATTGCCTGATGAAGCGCAGACAGGAGAGTGGCTACCTCATTGAAGAGATCGGGGACGTGCTGCTGGCCCGGGTGAGGGTGCCCAGCCCGCCCCCTCCTCCCAGCCAGGGGCCGCCAGGGGCCAGGTCCTGAGCCCTCCCCACTCAAGGCCAAGGGCCTGGACCCCAAGCCTGTCCTGCTACTCTAGGCTTCCAGCCCCATGCGAGGTCCTCTTCTTACCCAGCCCACCTGAGACACCTCCCTGGCCTGAATCTCTCTGTAGTTTGATGGTGCTGAGGGCTCCTGGTTCCAGAAAATCTCCTCTCGCTTCTGCAGCCGCCAGTCGTTTGCCTTAGAGCAGCTCAAAGCCAAGCAGCGCAAGGAGCCTCGATTCTGTGCCTTCGTGCAGGTGAGGTGGGGGTCTGGGCTCCGGGGTCCCAGGGGAGGAGGGGGCTGGGGACCTGGACTCCTAGGCGAGAGTTGGTGTCCCGGCCCTGGGGTGAGCCCGAGGCGTGGGCCACCTCAGCACCGTTTTCCCTTCAGGAGGCCGAGAGCCGTCCGCGGTGTCGCCGCCTGCAGCTGAAGGACATGATCCCCACGGAGATGCAGCGCCTGACCAAGTACCCACTGCTCCTGCAGAGCATCGGGCAGAACACAGGTACCGCCACCCAGCCAGCCCCTGCAGGCTCTCCTTCCACTGTCCTTGGGTGTCACACCGGGAGCCTGCAGGGGTGGGGCTCACCAGAGCGGTCTCTCCCCTGCCCGCAGAAGAGCCCGCGGAGCGAGAGAAAGTGGAGCTAGCAGCTGAGTGCTGCCGGGAAATCCTGCACCACGTCAACCAAGCCGTGCGTGACATGGAGGACCTGCTGGTGAGCCTCGCTGCGGCCCTGCGCTGGGGCAGGAGGTGGTGTGTGTGTGTGTGCAGCTCCACTTGGCCCTCAGCGACTCCCTCTCGGGGTCACTGGAGGTCAGGCCTGGCCCTCGGCTTGTCCCCCTTGGGAATTGGTCTTGGCTCTCAGCTTGTCCCCCCGGGGTCACTGTGGGTCAGTCTCAGCACTGGGCTTGTCCCCATAACACTCGGGTCTCTGCTCCAGCGGCTCAAGGATTATCAGCGGCGCCTGGATTTGTCCCACCTTCGGCAGAGCAGCGACCCCATGCTGAGCGAGTTCAAGGTGGGCCCTGCCTGCCCTTCCCTCCCTGCCCTCAGCCCACTCAGGCCCTGCCGCTCAGGGGATCTCTGAAACAGCCCCCAGCCGGCCCTGCCTATCCGATAATGTGCCCCACCTCGTGCCCAGGCGGGCACCCATGGTGACCCCTGACTGATCCTCACCCATGGTCATCCTGTCCTGCCCTCCCCTCCTGTCGCCTGTGTGGGCCATCGCTGCCTCCTGCCCCCAGAACCTGGACATCACCAAGAAGAGGTTGGTCCACGAGGGCCCGCTGACGTGGCGGGTGACGAAGGACAAGGCTGTGGGTGAGTGCCAGGGTGGCAGCAGGCGGGGCGCCGGGCCGCGTGGGGGGCACCGTGTGAGCTCCTGCCTTGGCCCGCCCCGCAGAGGTCCACGTGCTGCTGCTGGACGACCTGCTGCTGCTGCTCCAGCGCCAGGACGAGCGGCTGCTGCTCAAGTCACACAGCCGGACGCTGACACCCACCCCCGACGGCAAGACCATGCTGCGGCCCGTGCTGCGGCTCACCTCGGCCATGACCCGCGAGGTGGCCACCGGTGAGCACGGCGGTTGTTTTGGCTCATTCGAGCAGAGCTGCCCAGTGGGGTGGGGAGTGGGCATTCTGAGGAGGGGGAGGCCTGGTGGCCGAGGTGGGGGCCGTGCCCTGAGCCTCATCTCCTCTTCCCCCCGCAGACCACAAAGCCTTCTATGTCATTTTTACCTGGGACCAGGAGGCCCAGATATATGAGCTGGTGGCACAGACTGTGTCGGAGCGGAAGAAGTAAGCGGGGTCTGGGTGCTGAGCGTGGGTGGGGAGGCCCAGGCCCTGGGCTCCCAGAGACAGTGGTGGAGTGGAAGGCCCTGGCCCAGGGCCTGGCGGCTCTGACTGCCCAGGGCCTTGGCCTGTCTCCCCAGCTGGTGTGCCCTCATCACTGAGACCGCTGGATCCCTGAAGGTCCCTGCCCCTGCCTCCCGCCCTAAGCCCCGGCCCAGCCCCAGCAGGTGAGGGGGACCAGGGAGGGAGCTGGAGTTCCGGGGTGTCGGAATGCAGGGCTGGCTGCCCCATGCATGCCCAGGACCTGAGCCCCAGCTGTCTGTGTGTGCGTGTGTCTGTGTGTGTGCACGTGTCTGTGTGCGTGTGTCTGTGTGTGTGCGCGTCTGTATGTGTGCGTGTGTCAACCCCACCACGGCCCTGTCTGTCTCCTATCTCCAGGCCTCTCTGTCTCCCTGTCTCCCGGCCTTGACCTCTGTCTCTGTCTCCAGACCTCCCCATCTCCCCACCTCCAGCTGTCTGTCTCCCTGTCCCTGCCGCCCTCCGGGGCCAGGGGTGTGGGGTCACCCAGCACTTCCTCCCCTCAGCACCCGAGAACCCCTCCTTAGCAGCTCTGAGAACGGCAATGGCGGCCGAGAGATGCCTCCAGCTGACGGTGAGGCTAGGGGCAGTGGGGGAGGGGCCGGGGGGGGTTCTTGGGTGACAAGAGGCGTCCATAGGAAGCCCGGCAGGACCTGAGCACCCTCCCTGTTCCCCCACCCAGCCCGGACTGAGAGAATTCTCAGCGACCTCCTGCCCTTCTGCAGACCAGGCCCCGAAGGCCAGCTTGCTGCCACGGCCCTTCGGAAAGGTAGCCCAGCCCTGCCCCCTCCAGGGAGGCCCCCAGCCCAAACCACTCTGTTCCCTCCTTCAAATTCCTGTATGCCCAGCTGCCAGAGGATACGGGCACCAAGCCCACCCACCCAGCCTGCACCGCCATCTTGAGTGGCGCCATGTCCCTCTTCCTTCCACAGCTGCCAACCCTTCCTTGACCCTAAATTCAGCCTCTCCCTGGGTACCTCTCCCTCAGTGCCTTCCTGTCCCTGTGCCAACCCTAACCCCAGTCACAGCTCTGCAGCCTTTTTGAATCTCCAAACCCCATGTGCTCAGCCTGGACCCACCCTCACCTCCAGCCCGAACCCCTGCCCCCCTGACTCCACCCTCTGTCCCTGCCAGTGCTGTCCCTGAAGCAGCTCCTGTTTCCTGCCGGGGAAGACAGCGGGGCGGGGCCTCCCCGAGATGGGGATGGGGTCCCAGGGGGTGGCCCCCTGAGCCCAGCGCAGACCCAGGAGATCCAGGAGAACCTGCTCGGCCTGGAGGAGACCATAAAGCAGCTGGAGGTGGGGCGCAGCACGGGGAACCCTGAGCGGGCTGGGGAAGGAAGGGGCCCCCCTCACGAGTGACCCGCCCCCCAGGAGCTGGAGGAGGAATTCTGCCGCCTGCGACCCCTCCTGTCTCAGCTCGGGGGGAATCCTGTCCCCCATCCTGGCTGTACCTGAGGTCCTTGTCCAGGCAGGTGAGTGGGGGACCTGGGGTGGACGCTGCCCTAAGAGGAGGGACCACAGTGGTCCCCCTACAGCCCCAGCCCGCCAGTCTCTCCCTCTGCCTTTGTCTTTTCTAAATCTTCCCGTTCCACCTCCTGTCTCCCATCTCTGCCACCTCCCTCTCTCTCCCCTCGCCCTGTCTGTCTCCCCCTCTCTCTCCTTCTCTCCCTGCCTCCTGTCTTCTCCTACGTGCCCCAGGCCTTTCGCAAGGAGAGGAAGGGGGAGAGGACGTTCGGGGGGCCGCCCGCACCCACACAGCTGCAGCAGCATCTCATACCCCGAGGGCCTGAGGAGAGGGAGCCGCTGCTGGCCACACCTGGGAGGGGCCCAGCTGGGGTCACCTTGTCCCCATTGCCCTCAGCCTTCTCCCTCCTGCCTCTGCTTGGGGGACTCAGGGCTTCATTCCAGGGTGGGCACCACAGCGACCCCCAAGTCCCGGGCCATCTCAGTATTGCCTGTGGGGGCCACCCCCACCCCCAAGTGCCTTTGCTCTGTTTTTATACCCTGAATTGGAGGTTTATTTTTTAATATATATTATCTAAGGAGAGGTCTGTGTTTCTGAGGGCAGGGTGGGGCCTGGCGTGGTGTTCTGGAACCCTCTGGGACTGGTGGCGACGTCCCTGGTCTGTCTGCCATGTTGCCTCTGTGCCGCTCGCCTTTCTCTGGTGGTTCATTCACTCATTCCTCAAACAGTTACTCCCCAGGTACCCCCACACACAGAGTACGAGGAGTCCCCCGACACCCTCCCTCCCAGCTCCCACCCCTGAACCCCCATGGTTGACGCTGGGTGCCCCACGTCTCACTCTGTTCTTTTATTTTTGTAGTAAACTCTGAAGGTGGCTGTGAGGGTCGTGGGGGGCTGGTGGGGAGGGGGCCCCTCCTGGGTGGGGGCTGGGGGCGGGGTTATTGCTCTGAGCTCCCTGTCCCCAGGGGGGCCTGTGTGGGAGGGTGTCAGGACTGGGGCCGGCACAGGGGCTTGGAGACACGGCCACACAAACACACAGGTCACAGCACAGGGGTGGGCGGGGGAGGCTGGGCGCCATATTGCACTTTGGGAGTGGGGCCAGGTGGGGACCCCCTCAAACTGGAGCCTAGGGAGGAGGCTGGAGGCCATCACGTTCCCTCCCCCTGCTGTGGAGGGGGAGGTGAGACCCCCGCTCTGGGGCTGGGGAAGAAGGAGCCGAGGGCAGCGATGTGCCCGACCCTAGGAGGGTGCCGAGGGTGGTCCTGGGCCTGGGACAGCACATCGAGGGCAGATGGGTGGCTGCCCTGGGCCCCACCTCTGTAGAATCCGTCAGCCCACGCCTGCTCAGCTGCCGGTCCCCCCTTTGCCCGCCTTGGCCTTGGGGGGCACGGGGAGGCCCTCGTCGCCCTCGCTGTCAGAGCTGCAGCCGCTGACGTCGGTGATCTCCAGCTCTGAGTCGCTGTCTTCCTTCCCACCCAGCACGGCCTCGGAACCCCCAGCCCCAGGCAGCGCCAGGCGGGGGGCCGCTGCCAGGCCTGAGGGTCGCTCAGGGCCCAGGCCCTCCCCCGTTGCAGCAAGCAGGGGTGCGGCTGTGGGGCCTCCCCCTGCCCCTGCAGAGGGCAGGTGGCCCAGGGAGCTGGCCAGGGGGTTGGGGTAGAAGTGCGGGGGGTACAGAGACGGGGCCAGCTTGGGGAAGGGGCCTGTGAGGTACGGGTTAAAGTTCCAGGGGTACTCGGGGAAGGCGCGGCCGTAGGGACCCAGCAGGCCAGGGGGCTTGGAGTAGCTGGTGGCACCTGGGGGGCACGGGGGTAGGTCAGGCTGGGCCTTCCACCATGGCTAAGTAAGGGGGCTGCCTCCTGCCACATCCCATCCCTCCTTCCCCACTGTCCCTCCCACACGGCCTCTTGCCACCTGCACGTGCTCCCCCAGCTCCATCTTGCCCACCCCGTCTCCCGATTCCTTTAGCACCCCTGAAAGCCCTTCTCCCAGCTTGTTGCCCCCGTTCCTTCCTCCCCCACCTCCCGTCCTCTGGCTTTTAAGTACACACACATGCACCCCAGCCTCGCGCACATGCGCCCCAGCCTTGCCACAGGCCTCCTTGCTCCGTCCTGTCTCCCCTCCCTCAAACACATGCAGCATCCTGCCCCCAACCCACCCTCCGCAGCTCCGCGGGACCCCCTGGCTCTTACCAGAGCCCAGGAATGGAAAAGAGCTGTCCAGGCGCAGTTTGTCCATCTCAGGGGAGAACAGGGGTGTCCGGGCCCCCGGCTCTCCCAGACGTGGGGCAGAGAACAGGGTTTGCAGGGTCTGGAGAGGGAGGCGGAGGCAGCTACTCAGATTAACCGCCTCCCGCTGGGGCGGGGGGTTCATGGCTGGGAGGGGCACCAAATGCCCCAGTTCTGGGATCCCAGAATCAGACTCACCTCAGGGGTGAGGGGAGGAGCATCTGGCCCAGGGCTCCCCCCGAAAGGACTGGGGGTCAGCAAGAGCGGGGAGCCAGTGGCAGCTGCCGCCACGTCCAGCAGGGGGTAATTGACAAGCACAACTTTGCTGAAGTTGAACTTGTAGGTGAACCTCTTCCCTTTGGTCTTGTGGAGAATCCGCTTGTTGTAGTAGTAACTGTGGGGAGAGGCGCATGGTGCTGGGGGGACACCTAGGGAGGGGAAGGGAGGGCCCAGCACAGTGCCCGGAGCACAGCAATTTGGGGAAACTGAGGCCCACAAAAGTCCCTTAACCAAGGTCACAGGGCAAGGAAGGGGTGAGGCAGGAGCTGGGATCCTGCCGTGTGTGACTGCAAAGCCCAGCACTCGGGTCCTTCTTGCGTCCCTTCCGCTCACAGGTGGTTATAATAGCTGCACACGCAGAGCGCTGCGCCTGCGATCCAACAGGACCCGGTCCCGGGATGTGGAGGGAAGGCCCCAGGGGGACAGTGAGGGAGAAGGAGGTGGGAGCCCAGGCCCCCAGCCCTCCTCACCGCAGAGCCCGGCTCAGCTTGTCGTAATTCATGTGGGGCTTGCACTTGCGGATGCCCCAGAGCCGGGCCACCTCGTCGGGGTCCTTGATGACGAATTCCCCGTAGTCCCCCTGCCAGGCGATGACGCCCTGGTACTCCTCCTTCTGCAGCAGCTCCAGGATAAAGTGCCACAGCTGGATCTGCCTCGAGCCAGGGGACGACTCGGGCTTGTAGGCCCAGTCCGGGAAGGCAAACCCTGGGGACGGGAGGCAGGGAGTGGCACAGGGTCAGGACGCCAAGTCCGGGGCTGGGTCCTGCTGGACTTAGGAACCGGGAGGCATCCAGTCCTCCCTACTCCAGGTCTGAGGAGCAGCCGCCCACCCTCAGGCATCTTCAGGGACCTGGTTTCCACTCTCCAAACCTCCTTCCCTGGTGTCTAGTCCCCAAATTGTCCAAATAGTGGGAGAGAACCCAGTCCTACAGGGACCCTGGGTTGGTACTTCCAGCCTGATCCCCTCCCTTGGCATAGCTCCCCCAGGCACATCGCAGGTGGCTGGTGAGGGGGACCAGTTTCCTGCACCCATATGGTGGGGAGGAACCGGGAGGAAAGGGTAACCACCCCACAGCATTGGCCCTTCTCCCTGCTGCCCCAGCCTGCCCTGGGAGCCTCTGGTCTCTCCTGCATCTGGAACCCCCCCCCCCAGCTCTTGCCTCCATTCCCTAAAGCCCATGACTGACCGCACCCTGGCACGTCCAGGCTGGATCTGTGTCTGCAGCTACCTGTGTGCTTGTACCTTTCACGACTCTGCATCCCCTCCCTGTGTCTATGCCCGTGTCCGTCCGAGAGCCATCCAGATGGGTGTGTGTGCACGCATGTATGTGCACACACTCTCCCAGATGCCCACCGAAGACATGTCACACAGACATCTGCTCACCCACCAGAGACTCAGCCACGCCATGGGACACAGACACAGCAGAGTGCCACACTCCTAGGGGCCACCAAAGCTACACATCAGACACGGGCTGCCCAAGACATGAGGTCACGTCATCTCAACACACATTACGCACCCGTCTCAACACACACAACTACACATCTCCTCAGGCCCCTCGGAACTGGGACCCACTGTATGACAAGAGACGCGTGCAGGACCCCAAAGGCCCGGATAACACGGTGTGATGGAGACAGCAAATGCAGCACCAAGACATTCCTGTCCCCAGATACACAGCCCGACAGCCACACACAGGGTGACACCATGACAACAGAGCAACCTCCCAAACCCACACGCAGGCACACGTGTCAGCGCTCTGACACATTCACTCTGCGTCACATTTCACACTCAGGGTGTCCTGTGCCCCACTGTCCACATACACCCAAAAGCTGGGTGCAGTAGGTGGCGTCTTGCCCAGCCCTGAATCCCACCTCCCATCCAGAAGGGCCCAGGCCCTCGGTCCAGCTTCTGTGCCCACTCCCATGCATGTCACATCCTCTGTCCCCTTCCCCTCCTCAGAGACCCCAGACCCAAGCATGAAAACAGAAGGCAGAATTAGCCTATAAAAAAAGCTGGTAGCAGTGCAGGAAAGGGGAGGCCGTGGGTTGGGCAGGGGACGACACTGAGCTGGGGGACCAGGGTCCTTGTATCCACTTGCTGTGTGGTCACAGGGCAGGTCCTCACCCTTGCTGGCTTAGAATTTCAGAGGTGGGGGGCAAGGAGGAGCGGCGCCTGGTGTATAAAGGTGGGCACTGATGCCTCCCGACCCGAATGCTGGGCAACGCCAGGCAGTTTCCTCCCTGAGGGAGAATTTTTCTCAACTCCATTTGGGGTCTTCTCAGATGCCTGGGCTCAATGAAGACCGTTCTCTGGCTCATCCTACACCCAGACCAAGTCCTACTGGGGAAGCGACTGTATCAGACACACCCACACAACCCCAAGAAGACAATGCAAAACCCAACCTGGGAACACCACCTGTCCTAGAATCTCGTCCTCAAACGTGCTGTACCTACCGAGATGCAGCCAGAGAGGACCCCCAGCCTCAGCAGGCAGACACGATTGTGACAGCCCCCAGTACTCACACTCACACACGGACCACGGGCTGAAAACCAGACACAGAGCCCAGGGACGCGTCCCCCCGCATTGCCCAAAATGCCGAGACATCATTTGGAATGCCACACACCACGCGACAGACCTGCAAGAAACAAGCGAAGCCTCTTCACCCGACTGGGGCAGGGGCACGCTCAGGTGGCCTCGTGCACGTACAAGCAGTCACCACGCCGGCTCACACAAAGACAGGCAGACACACATTCCCAGTGTGTCCCCTCCTTCGAGAAACGCTGAAGTGTGACGGGGACACACTGAGAGGAAACCCCAAATAAGCAGGCGCAGAGTCGCAGTCTCTGCCGTGCACACATGCACACACAGACACGCACACGCTGCACGTCGGCAGTGCCTGGGACCTGAGCCCTGTGTCCCGCAGCCTTACTGTCCGCACCCCCAGTTCTGAGCCTCCACTTCCGAGCAACCGTGCTCTCTCCGCCTCTGTCTCCCCCAAGCTCGGGTTGGCTGCGTCTTGTCTCTCCACGGCCCCCTGCCTGGGTCGGGCTGTCTGTGTATCCATCCATCCATCCGTCCGTCCATCCGTGCCTGGCCTAGTGCCCCCTCCAGCCCCAGTCCCTGCTCTCTCCGCCCACAGGTCCCGTGGAAGCAGGCTGAGACTCATCCCTCCCTGCCCTCCATGCCGCCGCGCCCACCCTCCGGAAAGCCCACAGGTCCCAGCAGGAGGTGGCAGGGAGATCTGGCTGTGAAGTTTTGAGCCAAGTTTTTCACGAAAGGGTTTGACTGGGGGGACACCGACTGAGGCGGAGGAGATGGACTCGGGACAAGTGTGAGCACACGGAGATAGAGAGATGCGAGTGTGGCTCACTGGGGGGGGGCCTGAGGGCTGGGGGAAGGGCTGGGGAGGTCCGGGCCAGTTACCGGGGGTCCAGAGAGCCGGCAAGGTGGGCGGGGCGAAGAGAAGGTCGGAGACACAGCTACAGTCCATGGCGGTGCCAGCCCTGCAGAGGCTGGGACAGACACGGGGACAGGGACAGGGCAGGCAGGAGAGACAGACACAGGTCAGCCAGCAGGGGCGCTCCCAGGGCTTCCCCCTCTCCCAGGTGCCCCCCAGCCTGACATCCGCAACCTCTCCCCCCACATCCCTCCCGGCCGCTCCCTCCGCGAGCTCCCTCTGCCCGCTGGTCCGCTGGTCCGCTGGTCCCTGTCAGTCCCCGAACAGCCGATCCCAGCCACCGTTGCTCCCCTCCCAGCCTCTCCTCCCGCAGCCTCCCCCTTACTCTGGAGCCTCGATCACTAACCACCCGCCCCCAGCCTCCCTCCTCGCCGGCCACTCGCGCGCTCACACTCGCTGGCTCTCGCGCCCGCCCGCCCCGCACGGGCTCTGCGGCTGTCTCTCTGTCCCCGTCTCTGCCTGACCTCTCGGGTCGGCGGTCTCTGCGTCTCTGCGTCTCCCTCTGTCTCTCTCTGGCGGCCCCAGATTTATCTCGCTCCGAAACTCACCCCCACGCCCACCCCGCCTGGCTGACCCCCAGTCTGGCTCTTCCAGCTCCGGCGCAGCCCTGCGCTTCTTCTGGGGGCTCAGACCTGGCAGCAGTCCAGGGCGGGCTTGGGGACAGCCCAGCTCCTGCCCCTGCCCCTGCCCCACCCACCTTGAAGGGCAGCCCTAGCGCCCGAGTGAGCACTCCCACAGACCCCCAAACCTGCCGGCCACTTGGATGTGCCTCCCACGTGGGCACCCCTTCCCCTCAGACCCGCCTCCCCCCTCAGACAGCCCCACAGACGCCCCTTCCCCTCAGACCCGCCTCCCCCCTCAGACAGCCTTCCCTCTCAGACCCCCTCCCTCAGATCCCCCTCCCTCAGACCCCTCATGCCCCTAAGGTACTCCACCCTCCACCCCTTCCGCCTCTGACAGCCACACCCCACCCCACACCCAGCGCGACTCAGACTCGGTGCCCCTCAGACCCTCCTCTTTGGGCTCCCCTTAGATACTTCAGCCTCTCACAGGCCATCCCCTCAGACCCCACCTCTCCAGCACTTTCCTCAGACTCCCTCCTTCGGAGCCCCCCAGAGACCACGCCCACCCGAGCCCCCACACCTTTCCTCTCAGACCCCCAGCTGCTCCCCACAGGTGCCACCACCCTCAGAGCCCCGTAAACCGCACCTCTCACCCCCTGGACACTGGACGAGACTTTTGAGGTACCCCATGTCCCGCAGACACCCAGCATCCTTCCCCACAGCCCACCCCAGGTCTCCCCCGTGTGCCCCCCCAGCCTCCCCCAGCCTCATCTGCCTCCTGGGGTCTCCCCTGCCCCAGGCCCCCCTACTTCCACCTGCCCCCATCTCCTCCCTGGCTCTCTGCGTCCCTGGTCTCTCCTCCCTTCCGTGTC